CTATGACTGAGAACTTACTATGAGCCAGGAACTGAAGGGGATACTTTACATAGCTTAGCTCTAATTTCCCCAGCAGCAAATTGAGAGAGGGATTATAATCTCCACTTTACAAATGAGGACACTGAAGCCCAGAAAATGAAGTGATTCACCTACGTCATATTCCTTGGGATTATGAGGATTCAGCATCAGGCCTATGGCAGCAAAGCTCCTGCCCTCTTTCTACCTCCCAGTCACAGCTACGGCCCAGATGTTATCCCAGGGCTTGTATTTCTTGGCAGTTATGCAAGTTAGACCTTAACAGTTTCATTTTTTATTGCTTACCAATATGAGAAATGAAGAACACAAAGGAAAGAATCCCTTTTTTCTCTACATATTATTCACATATGTTCACTCTGTCTTCTCCATTGGAATGTAAGCTCCCATCTCCTTGAGTCTTCCCACCACAACTAATACACGTTCTCAACAGAAACCATGGAACTCCAGTTCAAATAACATTTTCTTCTTTCAAACACCAAAATGAAAGATAAAGTCAATCCCTACAAATCAAGAGAGAGTATAAGCTCCCTGGGTAATTAAAACCAGGGAGTATTATAGCGGTCTGATCTTACGTAAGAATGGGCTGGGAAGGACTGCCTCAGTTTCTCTAAAATTCCCTGGTCTTGCAGAAACATACTCCCTGTCATGTGCTGGGTCGTCCCAAAACATTGATAATCTTCCTAAAGTTCCCATGAATCCCTTCCTTGGTTTCCTTCTGTCTCTCAGACCAAAACCCTGGAGCATTCTGTTCGAGTCCTATTTCACTGGTGCTCTTTCTTCTCCCTTCCTCCAGCTGCTGGGGATGTCCAGAGTTCAGTGTTTTGCCTGGTGTTCTCTTCCAACAGTTTTCTGTAAAGAATCCATTCACTTGCATGGCTTCACCTTACTCTGCAGAGAAGCCCTGGTCTGTAAGCTCTGTTCTGGCCTCACTATGGGCTTCAGGTTTCTATGTCCAGTGAAGTATCTATCAGACAGCTTTAGTTAGATACAGCAACACCTCTTCATAGTCAGCATACAAAATCACAGCACCATCCCACGCAAATATGTATTTTCCCTTCCTCTTGAAATCTCTATCTATCAACAGGGACATTTTCCTTTTTAATAAGAAATTGAGAAAACTGACATCCTCTTGGACTCTCAGTCCTACCAGTTCAAAGATTAAAGCCCAGAAAACTTCCCTTTGTAATGAGGCTTCAACCTGTGCTACCTTTCCATCCTCACTGCTAAAGCACTGGTCACTCATCCATGACACTCATTCTTTATTTAAACTTCCTGAAGTACTGCTCGTCGTATCACTCACTCTTTAATTCAAAACCACAACAGACTTCCACATCCAGCGGGGTAGATAACCCTGAAGAAAGGCATTTAAGGCTCCCCACCAACGAGTTCTGTCCCTATCATTTCCCGGCGGAAACGCTCTGCTCGCTGCTGATAGGTTGACGCGGCCTAATTCATTCCCACGTCCATGCCTGGTACACAGCAGGATCTCGATAACGCGTAGTCAGGCAACCACATAATATACTGTTCAAACTGCAATATTTTGCAAGTGAAATGGGACATTAAAAATAATTAAAATTATATGACTTAAAAAAGACTTTATTTATTGGCCAACAAGTTATTGATCAACAAACTGGTTTTACTATATCAGGGATCTATAAGATCATTACATTTGAAAACTGTTTTCAAAACTAAAATTATTTTTGAAAAATAAAAATACTTTACATTAAAATTAAAAAATTTTAAATGCTGATTACCTGAACATTTAAAACTAACAAAAGGAACATTAATGAAGCTATACATTTGTGACATCTGCACATTTCTTCAATATATTACAGAATTAATGTTTCTTTTTCTTAGGTATTCGTGTATCCTAATCAGTTCCTTGGTCATTCTAATACCATGTCACTGACATGTTTCTGATGAATTTATAAGTGAACGACAGACAGTACTCTCCAAAGCACTAATGCTGTAAATGGTACACACATCTAACAAATGGCCATAGATGCAGAGATGATGCATTTAAATGGTATTTCTATACCACTTTGATTTCAGAAAGTCGTTATGATGCACAAGAACCATTCAAATATCACTCTCATTTTGCCTAAATTTTGTTATTAAACCTAATTGCATGGGCATGTGTGAGAAAAGAGGGTGGAATTCAGTTTTCCTTTTATTCCAGGACTTACAGGAGAGAACAGCACATAGGAGCTGTCCTTCTTCAGAGACAGTTCAAACTTGGACCCCAGCTAGGACAAGTCTGCGGTGTCTGCCTCTGCAGTAGTCTGTACAACTGCAGATCAAATGCCTGCACATTCTGGCATGCTCACAGCCTCCGCAATTGGATCCATATGACACACTGCAAAATACCCTCACATAACATCTGTTTGTACTGCTTTAAACAATTGTCATTTTTTGTCTCACTAAGTAATTAATTCAAAATTATATAATGAGACGGTTAAGTCCTGTCAAGTCCTGCCTTGCAAATTCCCTCACATCCATCCCTTCTTTCCTGTTGCCCCTTCCACACTGACACTGCCGTGCTAGATGCTGCTACAGTTTCCTAGCCCTGCCTACATCCTGCTGCCAAAGCAATATTCCCAAATTACCTCCATGCGCACCACATTCCTTCCTCAAAAACGAAGCCAAACACAAACCAACCCCTCGATGGCCCCTATCTGCCAAATAAAAAGTCACATTTAAGACCTTTTGTAATCTGGCTCCGGGCTAGCTTTCCCACTGGAACGGCTCTATTCCCTTTGACTCTAAAAAGCCTATTCACTCACCCCTCCGCTCCTCCAGGACACACACACACACACACACACACACACACCTACCTACTTTTTCTGTTTCTAGGCTTTGCTCAGACTGTTCACCTGCCTGAAATGCTCTCACCCCTGCCCCTCCCCTGGCCTCTTTAAGTACTATTTGTCCTTCAAAGCCAAATTCAACATCCTCTCCAATGTCTACCAGGGGGCAGAAATATTCTCTTTGGCTTCTATATAACTAGTGCTTTATAAATAATTCACTTGGTATTTCTTTGATGCCTTGTGTAATTGGCCAGTTTTATCTGTGTTCATTTCACTAGACTGTACCAGAGGGTACAAACAGAACTATCTGGTGATCTGTTGCTACTGCTTCATCCTTTGGCTCAACGGTGTGTGCACAGCAAACAATCATATATATTTGACTGAATAATTGGTTAAAAATATTATTTATTCACTCATTCAACAAATATTTATTGACTATCCAATATGTGATAGATGCTGTTATAGCACTACAAAAATACAATTAAAACTCACAGATAAAAATTTTTGCCTTCATGGGACTTGTTTCAGGTGGAGGATACACATAATTTTTTTAATGTAAGCTATACGTAATATTAGAAGGTTCTAAGTGCCATGAAGAAAAATAAAGCAGGGAAGGAAATTAAGGAGTATAAGGAGGAGGTGAAGGCCTCTCTGAGAAAGTGTCATTTGAGCAAAGACTTGAATGAGGCTACAGAGCAAGGTATACAGATACCTAGAAGAAGAACATTCCAGGCAAAGGAAGAGCAAGTGCTGTAACTGTGAGGCAGGGATGTGCCTAAAATATTCAAGGGAGACAAAGGCTTTTCCCCGCCACCTGATTTGGAAGATATTTGCTACTCAGAGTGAGGAAAGTAAGCATCAGCCTAACCTGTCATAAAAAATGTACTTCTGATGTTTTTTCAATGTAAAAGACATGCTCTGAGTCTACCATGTTCTAAAATGGCCATTTCTGCATACTCACGTTCACAGGAACATTATTCACAATAGTCAAGAGGTTGAAGCAACCCGAGTAAGTGTCCTCTGACAGATGAAGGGACAAACAAATGTGGTACATACATACAATGGAATTCAGCCTTAAAAAGGAAGGAGATTCTGACACATGCTACAACATGGATGATTCTTGAGGACATTATACCGGTCACAAAGGGAAATATACTATATGACTCCACTCATATGAGGTACTTAAGAGTAGTCAAATTCAGAGGCAGAAAGTAGAATGGTTGTCAGCAACTAGAGGGACAGGGGGATAGGGAGTTATTGTTTTGCAAGAGAAAAACATAAAGATGGATGGTGGTGATGCTCGCACAACAATGTGAACATACTTCACACTACTGAACTTTACACTTAGAAATGGTTACGATGAAAAAATTGTTGTGATGCGCTTTTTACCACAATTTTAAAAAAAAGAAGTGCAGGTTCCAGAGGCAGACCATGTGGTTTCAAATACTGGCCAAATGTCCAGTGAGGTACCTGGCTCATAGTAAATGCTTGGTAAACATTTCTTCTTATGATGATCAACGATCCATTCTATGTTACCCTATTTTATTTATATAAAAGTTTTTCTTTCATTATTGATTTCAGCAGTTACTTGCAGAATCCTATACTGTCTGCAATTTTGATTCATTTCCTTCCTAATGTATCTTTTCAAAATGGAACTTAATTTTAATAGCTGTATTTGCCTTAAGCATGATTAACAAAACTAACAAAATAAAAAAACACAACAGAGAGTCGACTTTTGCTCACAAGCAAAAAGTGTATCAGAGATGAAGTTCTTAGCAATCAAAGACAAGCTCACCAGCCAGTAGGACAGAAAGTAGGTACTCATTCAGGAAGAATCTAAATCAAAGAACTGTTAGGCCCTAGCCAGTCTGGTTCAGTGGATAGAGAGTCAGCCTGTGGACCAAAGGGTCTCAGGTTTGATTTGGGTCAAGGGCATGTACCTAGGTTGCAGGCTCCTCCCCGGCCCAGGGCTTGTGCAAGAGGCAACCAATCGATGTGTTTCTCTCACATCGATGTTTCTCTTTGTCTTTCCCTCTCTCTTCCACTCTCCCTAAAAATCAATGGAAAAATATCCTCCGGTGAGAATTAACAAAACAAAACAAAAAGAAAGAAAACCGTTAGTGCCGAGAGCAGATGGGGTTTGGTGAACTGTCTAACCTGCATGGGATTGATCTTCACCGAGCGCTCAAAGCACTGCACGCACTCCTTAAACTCCTTGTTCCGCAGGTGAAGGAGGCCCTTGGAGCGCTGAGCACGGGCACTGCGGTGCCGGGACAGCTCCCAGGCCTTGTCATAGCAGCGGTGGTCACGGAGGACATCTCCAAGCAAGCAGTACAAACTTGGCGTTTCTTTTTTCTCCAGCTCTTGCCTAAGGATTTCTTCTGCCTAGAATTAACAACAGAAATAACTAAATTGCTTTTAAGTTTATTGTATAAAGGTAAACATCTTTTAACTCACATGATCCAAAACTTCATTTTCAATGTTTAAGATGACCAGGTTAGTTCATGCATTTAGAACACAGGCTGAATAAGAAAATAACCAAAATAAATATGAAGTTTTAAAATATCCACATAATTCCCTTATTGCAGATAATAGTTATTAATGTATCTAACTATAACTCTGTAAGGTCACATTCTCTCTCTCTATTTATATATAAAAATTTATATATAAATAGGTATAGATATATTCAACCAAATTATGTAACAGACTGTAGCCACAGCAGGATTTTTGCTGAAATGATCTTCCAGTGTAGTTGAAGGCATTCTCTTGGCAGCATGGCACTGAAACTAGATACGCACTCCCTCCCAGAAATTCTAAAGGCTAGTTCACTTAATAAGTTCTTTCCTGCTTTAACCAGTTCAAGTGGATTCTGAGGTCTGCAATTAAGCAATGCCCATCATAGTAACTGGTTACAGAAGTGCTTGCAGTGTTCTCTCTCATGATCACTGGATCCTCATTGTCTTCAAATCCAACTAGATTAGATAACTAATCACAAATACTCATTTTCTGTAGGACTGCTGAATTATAGTACAGATGACTTCAGATTCACCAGTTCCATGTGCAAGGTAAGGCATCTGATTGGGTTAATCAAGTATGTTCTAGTCATTCGTCTTATTTCCTCTATTGCCTTTTAACTATACTAGGTACACCATTTTATTATTTTTTAATGATTGCTCTAGGGCAGTGATGGCGAACCTATAACACGCGTGTCAGAGGTGACACGCGAACTCATTTTTTTGGTTGATTTTTCTTTGTTAAATGACATTTAAATATATAAAATAAATATCAAAAATATAAGTCTTTGTTTTACTATGGTTGCAAATATCAAAAAATTTCTATATGTGACACGGCACCAGAGTTAAGTTAGGGTTTTTCAAAATGCTGACACGCCGAGCTCAAAAGGTTCGCCATCACTGCTCTAGGGCTACTCATGTGCATCTCCAATTTACCAATATTCATTTACAGTTATTATTGTATCACCTCACCTTTCTCACATCACAAGTGGCCATTAAGCTAATCAATGCGAAACAGTCTATTTTTGTATTATTATTTATTAGTTACTTTATTATTTTCCATAATAACAACTGGCCAAATGTCCAGTGAGGTACCTGGCTCATAGTAAATGCTTGGTAAACATCTCTCTGTCTTTGAGAACTAGCCTCTACTATAGCAAAAAACAGAATCCATCTTTGCTGCCTGCTTCAGGGAAGAAGGCTGAAATTAGAAAATGTGCCCCAAGTTGTTGATTTAGCAGCATGTGTGAGCAAGCTCGCGCGCATGCGCCCACACAGACACGCACACATTTTTTTTAAAGCCTAAAGCTATTGTCAGGTGGACAAATCTGACTATTAGTACTCTATTAAATTCTTAGTCTGACCATTTTCCTGTCCCCTTGGAACAAACCGCTAGCTGTTAAACCCACCCCTGTCATTTCTGTAGTCCTCAAAGGCTCTTTATAGTTAATACCATCTCTGGGCCTAGAGCTCATTTCCCACCTTCATTCTTTGCCAGGAGGGCTTCTTACGGTTGTTGGTTTGCCAATTCCCCATTTTTATATACTGACCAGAGGCAAAGTCAGATGAGCGCCACTCTTACCATATACTAGAATTTTCAGTTCCTTCTGCTAATTCACAGAATCAAGGCACAAATCACAGCCAAGAAGGGCATACAGTGAGTAAATCTAGATTTCTTGGCATCTCTTAAAGAATCAAATGATGTGGAAACACTGGTCTTTGGCATTCGAACTGCCTTTCAGACTAAAGGCACCTACATCCTCACAGATCTTATGGTTGGAAGACTGTAGGATGGATTATGTAACAGTTTTCTAGGGATGTGTTATTAAGTGTTTTGGTTGTAAGAGAACCAACATAGCTTAGGCAAAAAAAAAAGGGGGGGGTGACTTATTGATTCATGCACCTGAAAACTCTTATAGACCTATCATGATAGCTGTATCCAGGGGCTGGGACGATGTCATCATGCCTTTGTAGCTCTCCATGAGCAAACAAGAAGGGCCCAAGTTTAGTAATCCCAATGCAAACAGAGTCAATTCAAGGCTAACAGAAAGGTTCCACTGAAGACTGGAGGGCCTGAGTCATGTGTCCTCGTCTCTGAAAGAACCACATGGAAAGGGTTCTCCTCAGGGAGAGGAGTTCTGTTATCAGACGATCAGGGAAGGGTTGCTGAGCAGGAAAAAAGCAACTGGTGTCCACTATGAGATGGGAATTTAATGCTCTAGGTCTGAAGTTGTAAGAGGTATTTTGTTTGGCTTACGCAGTGTTTTAAAAAAAATTAGAGTAAACATTTTCAGGCTGTTTTGTTTAAAAATCTAGATTTCTTGGCATCTCTCAAAGAATCAAATGACGTGGAAACACTGGTCAAATTCCCACATTGTTGTATTAATTGGTTGGAGTTGAGCCGCGGCTCCTCTTTTGTATACTCACTCCCCAGCCTGTTTCATTCATTCTCAGCAATTGGCAAGGACCTCTGGGCACTTGAGTATGTGACCCTCGCTGTGAGCAGAAACTTTCTCAGGTAAAGTAAATCGAGTGTAATTTATTCTAGTCATAACTGTAGGTTCTGCTTAAGTCTTGGCTGACTTAATGTTATACTTAGATTCACTATGTGTAGTCATTGCCACAAATTTGTATTAAGAAGAATAATTAGTTGCATACAATTGCAAAATAGAACAGACTGTTGAAACAGCCCACATGTGAAATATATATGTGTGTGCGCAGGGAAGTGGGCTTTGGGGTTTGCAGCTGACAGGATTCTTACAAGCACTTCAGATTCATTGCGGCCAGTTGCCTATGTAAGTATGACTGTATGTTTGGGAATGTATTTTTATCCCATTGAAAAGACATTTAGGTGACAAATTTCTTGCGGCCCTATCTTGGGTACACATCTATATTTTCCCATAGGGAAGTAGCAACCCATAGCCATAAATACCAAAGCTTTTTCATTCTGTGAAGGTTTCTGGCCTCCCATATTTAATATTGCAAAAGTGACATTACAAACCCTTATGCTTTATTAATGTTCACTGGGCACATCTTTTGTAATTTTTTATTGGATAATAAATTATGTAAATTGAGTGGGTAAGTGGAGGAGGTAGGAGAACATTTGCAGAGAGTGAAGAAGACTGAGGAATGCAATGCAACTAATTGAAGGAAGAAATATATTGCCTGCAAGCATTGCCCTTGGGAAAGATAATTCTGTTGGCAGGACAAAGAAGTGGAAGATCTCTAGGAGAGAGAATTGACTTCTAACAGAAAAATGTGGGATAGGAATTTGAGGGAAAAAGAGGCCAGTTCAGACGAAGTCACTGCTCTGGTGTTTCTGGCCTTTAGAAGCTGCCCTACTCTGGCCCTCCAGAACTGTCTTCCAGTGGATAAAATACCTGGAATTGACATTGTTTGGTAACCAGAAATTGCAAACCACCCACTCTCTATTTTCTTTTTTCTTACAAGTGTTGAGGTAGGTATCTGGTGGAGGGAGCATCTGAAATCCTCAGTACCTTAGCGTTTCCAAATGTGAAGTTTCTCAGGATTACTAATAATCTTCCATTTGTAATTTTTGTTTTCTTTGACAAGGGTTGCAAATATTAGGTCTGTGCTATATATCTTTGGACTCTGGTGAATCTTCATGGTCTAAAATACAGTCCAATTAGAAGTAAAATAAATATTTGTAGAATGGTAGTTTTTTATTCTGCAAATTCTTTAAGGGTATGATTTGATATTCTGAGTCTCAGGTCCTATTTTAAATGTGGGATACCTGTGGAGTATAGTATTTTCTTATAATCCTTTTTATTTCTGTAGTAATTTCTCTTCTTTTATTTCTGATTTTAGTACTTGGAGTATAAAGAACCAACTTTTGGTTTACTCGTCTTTTTCTAGTTTTTTATGGTGGAAAATTCGGTGATAGATTTGAAATCTTTCTCCTTTTTCAATATAGGCATTTATAGCTATAAATTTTCCTCTAAGAATTGCTTTCACTTCATCCCATCAATTACAAATACATATGTATTTGTAATTTATCTCAAAGTGTTTTTAATTTCCCTGTGATTTCTTTTTTGACCTATTGGTTTTTCAGGAGTGTGTTAATTTCTACATATTAGTGACTTCCTCAAATTTCATTCTGTCAGTGATTTCTAATTTCATCTCATTGTGACTGAAGGGCATACTTTGTATAAAAGACTTCCAGTCCTGTTAAAGAGCTCAGACTTAATCCTGGAGACAAAGGGAAGTTACTGAAGACTGTGGGAATGACATGAACAGATTAGTCTTTTAGGAAGATCATTCTGAAGTGTGGGAAAATAGCTTGTAGGAAATCCTTTCAATCATATAAAAAACTATTTTAGAAGAAGAAAAAACAAAAAACCCAAACCAACTGCTAAAAGAATCCCAGCTGTTAAAAATGTTAAAGGTTAAAAACATTTACTTACAACTTAAAGAACAATATTTAAGAGCCCATGGCGACAATGATGTGCAAATGTAGCATAATAAAAGAAAAAACGACATAATCGCAGGTAAACCTTATTTGTTAAAAACAAGAGAGGCCCCAACCCTTCTCCCTCCACCCCCTTCACCCCCATCCCTTACAACCACCTTATGCCAGCCAGTGCAGTCTTTATCTTTCATTTAGGGACCAAATTTGTTCAACAAAATAAGTTGCCCACATGTTGGGGAAACTGCTATAGTGTGCCAGATAATTTTTAAAAATTAAATGCTAACAGATGAGAGCCAGGTCTGACCCCAAGGTCAAGCAAAATTAACCTTAGCTATTTTGCCAATGGTCATTAAATAATGAGAATTTCCATAGGTAATTCCTAAATTAGAAAATCTGAGACCCTACAATAGCAGGTGAAAAAATAAGCACCAAAACACTATGATTAGAATTAGGTACTTTTCCAAATTTGCCTTTTAAAAAGAAATTATGCCATTAAGCACTAAATTAAATAATTAAAATTGTATTGTGACAACTACTGGCACATAACCAATTACTAAAAGAATCTCAGCTGTTTTAGAAATAAAACTTTTGCTTCCAACTTGAAGCAAAACTTTTTAGGGTCTTATGGTTAAACTGATCAGCTAATATAGCATATGACAAACAAATAGGTAAGGGAAGTCTTTTATGTGGCAAATAAAATGCTAAAATCAAACTTTAAAATCAGGATTTTGAGAAATGTTTGGCTGTAACTCACAAAAGACTTAAAACAAAGTAAATAATTATACATTCCTAAAAATTAAAATATGTGCATTTTCTAGAATAATTATAAACATGGAAATTTATCATTATTATAAGACATTTCTTACAAGGTTAAAAACATGTGCAAATTAAAAAAAAATAATGCTACAATTACTCTGAGGACATAGTCAAATCTATTATCTGAAAAGAATAGATTCATTATATGTTTGCTTCTGCAGTTAGAGAAAGTCTCTCCTTTCCATACTTTCTAAAAATAATTAAACAAATGTAATATTTCAAAATAGGCTTTGGGTATTTGTGATTCACCAACTTGTTCAATTATTTCAAAAAACCACCATATTTTTATATACAGTATTATTTATGTTTACTGACCAATGTAAAAGACTAGCATATTGAAGAATGATGTAATGAGAAGTACATCAGACTAGCAGGATCAAGATATTCATTCACCCATTCATTCCTTTGTTAAACAAACATCTGAATACTACTTCAGTGCCAGACAATGGACCCTAAAAATATTTTAAGTCCCTGAAAAAACATACTATATCTCATCAAATTTGGAATGCCATCAATTATAGGACTAACTCTTAACTAATAAAGAAAAATGCTTTCAATTAAATTATGACATAATGCCTTGAATAGATCACATCAGCCTCTCATTGCTTTGATATTTTTTCAATCTATTCAAATAAATTGGCAATTTTTCCTGCCCTCTTTCAATATAGTGCTTGACATTAAAAATGGCAGCCTTTCTTTATATACAGAATTGTACAGAATAAGATTCATTTACTTAGGGGTATCTTATTTTCTTAGCTCCCACAAAGCACCTAGTTGTTGTTTTTAAGGAAAAGTAAATGGAATTGTGATGATTTCTCCAATAACAAATGTTTACTTCCCTAATATCAAATTTACATTTCTTACTTTGCTTCTCTCCTTTCCTGTCTGTTCAATAACTTTCTGTCTCAATACTAACTTATAATGGGATCTTTCTGAAAATATTTAAAATGGCAATTACATCCAACCCATGTAGCACTGACACCATGCACATAATGCAATCATAGTGATGGTATGAAATATGGCCACAACTGGACTTGTACAAGCACAGGCAATGACAGCCTGGCCAGGCGGCCACCTCACTGATAGCAACTGGGAGGTGCCATCAAGTGTTAGATACATTCCAAATTCAGAGATGTTCAAATGTGAAAAAATGTGTCTTAGAATCGCAGCAATGGCAGCAAACACTCATGTAGCACCATGAGGAAAGCACAATTCTATGTATTTTATATACATTATGTCATGAAAACCTATAAGGTCATAGATTATGTGCCTCTAGGTGAGAAAACTGAGGCATGGGGGTAACTTGCCCAAAATCACATGGCTAGCATGTGTCAAGTCCAGCATTTGAATCAAGATAACCTGGGACTAGAGCTGCACTTTTAACCACTGTGCCATGCAACCTCTCAAGTTAATGATCAATAACTGGCCTTGTGATCTGAGGCAAATCATTAGAGACCCCTTTCTTTATGTGAAAAAATAGGGAGCTGGAATGGGTAATTATGAAGCTCTTTCCCAGGATGAAAACATTATAATTACACCAGAGGCCCGGTGCACAAAATTCGTGCACTGGCGGGGGGGAGGGGGGATTCTTCAGCCCGGCCTGCGCCCTCTCGCAGTCTGGGACTCCCTCAGCAGGGCGATCGTGGGGCGATGGCGAGGCCCCCCTGACCAATCGCATCGCACCCGCCTTGGTGGCAGCAGTCTGTGCTGGGTCGTAGTAGCGCCCGCGACCCAGGAGGGACCAAGAGGTCAGCAGTTCAGCCCGCTTTCCAGTCCCCGCCAACCCGAGCCTACTGCGCTTGCAGTCTGGCGTTGTCATCCATTCGGTCGTTTTGGACATTATGGCTCTTTATATATTAGGATAATCTTTTACAGTAAAATTTTACTTCCAAACTAGTTTCTCCTTCAGTCAATACAACTCAAAGACCTTCACTGCCATTAATGATTAGTGAAAGGAATGTAACTTCTACTACTAGTCTAAAATTGACACTCTGTAGAAGGTATTTGCAAAACAGACACACATGTACTTGTACCACTCTTTCTCTTTTTTATGGTGATGGTGAAAGGTTGACTATAGATATAAATGACCCAATTTATGGGTTTTACTCTTTTTGCATACTATACTTATGATAGAAATTTAGTCACTTAAAGTTTTAATCCAAAATTAACACATGATTTCAATGTGTCAGTTTTAACAAATATTCACAGTATGGAGCCCCCTATTCTTTTTAAAATCTTGTTCATTTATGAGGGGGAAAACAACAGATTAATAACAGATGCAATATTGCAACATTTTCCCTCCTGACCGAATTTAAGGTGGAATTAAATGTACTCTATACACCTAACAACTCTTCTGCCCCCAGTGGTCATCACACCCTTTGGATTTTCTTCTACAGAACCAGCCAGCCACTCTCCTTCCCAGACAACCTTCCTTCAGACCCACACCCTCTGATCAGCAGACAACCCAGCGACAGTGAAAATAACTCCTAATCTTTCCGTGTGAAGTTGTCCTACAGGAGGAGAGTCATAAAGAAAAGAGATCAAAATGTGAAATGTCTTTAAGCTTTCATTACTCATTCTTAAACGTCAAATACCATATCAACTTTGGCCGGCTTTTCTCATATATATACCCATGCAGACATATAAACAGAAATCATTAAAAAGAAAACATTAAAAAGATATTTGGGGGTGGGGGGGTGAGTAGAAAAAGGGATATAAGTGAACTGTTGGCAAAAGTAGGCTTAACAAGAGACCCAGTGAGAAGGTGCTCGAAGACGGAGGCTCCTACCAGCACAGAGAATGTTATTATTACATACCTTCCCATGCTGTCCAGCTCTTTCATAACAAATGACAACATCCTCCCACATTTCTAGTTTCTCAAATATCTGAAGGGCCGAACTGGTACATCCCAACTCAAAGAGTAAACTTGCAAGTTGGCGCTAGAAAAATCAAGTTAAAATAATGAACATTTCTTTATGCAAAGACAGATTTCTGTTTCACTTGCATGTTTATCTAATCTGCCAGTCAAGGGTCTGCTTATTGTAATAAATGTATACTTTATATAATTCAACATCAACCAACTAGGAATTTGCAATTATTCAATAGTTACCTTTACTTTATAGGAAGTAAAGGATTAATAAACAATATAGACACAGTTCAAAATACTCAATATATCATTTTTTCCCAACAACTCAGAATTTAAAAAGCAAATTCAGTATTTCTTTCTTACCTAGAGATTCTATATATGACAATCTCTGATTTGTAAAGCTGAGAGCCAATAAATCAATTTTTAAAGCCCTACTTAGAATGGCTATTATCAAAAAGATAAGAGATAACAAGTATTGGCGAGGATGTGGAGAAGTGAACCCTTGTGCACTGTTGGTGGAAACGTAAATTGGCATAGCCACTATAGAAAATAGTATGGAGGCTCCTCAAAAATTTGAAAATAGAACTACCAAAACATCTAGCCAATTCCACTTCTGGGTATTTATTCAAAGGAAATTAAAAAAATATTAGAAAAGTTTTAAAAGCAGGTGAGGTTCTTGTGTTGTTTTCGCTTAAATACACTTTTACTATTCTTCCAAAAGTCAATACATATTAAGAGTTAAGAAGTTGCCCGGCTGGCATGGCTCAGGGGTTGAGCATGGACCTATGAACCAGAAGGTCACAAGCTCGATCCCCAGTGTGGGGCCTGTGGGAGGCAGTCGATCAATGATTCTCTCTCACCACTGATGTTTCTATTTCCCTCTCCCTCTCCCTTACTCTCTGAAATAAATGAAAATATCTATGATAAAGAAAAGAGCTAAGAAGCTAATGGATATGGAAAATCTGGGATTGACTAAATGAAATATACTTGAAAATTATAATATATTATCAAAATAAATAAAGGGGCTGGTCCAATTCTTTTGTATCTCATGAAGTATAAAGTATTAGAGAACTTGGCTGGGATATTTAGGATATTTGACTGGACATTTTTAAAAACTGAGCATGGTATGTGGAATAAATCCTTGCAGTTCAGTGGTTTAAATTTTTCATTTAATAAAGAAAATTATGGCATCTAAGCATAAGGCTGGCTAGCAGTAAAGACTAATTCTCTTTTTACAGTAAACTATGTTGTTACTTCTTGACCTTTGAAAATAATACTTAAAGATATGGTTACTTCATATGACAGAAAAAATGACTTAATTTCTTAATGAAAGAGGATATTTATGTAACTACCCAAAAACCCTAAAATCCACAGCTTCCAAAGCAGATTAAAATAAATATTTAGACTAAATTCTATTTGAACAGTATTTAATTAGCCCTAATTCTATTTGAACAGTATATAATTTAAGCTTCTGTTCAAAAACATATTAAAAGCTACACCCTCAACAGACATGTTTTGTCAGAATAATAGCAGAGAGTCTGAGAGCTTTATCCACCACAGACCACACAGTACAGGGCACTTCAGACATTTCAGAGATCATGGTCAACAGCATGCCAAAAGTTCCAGCTGTTAAACTTTCTTTATGAAGAAGCTACTCCTGCCTGGCCAGCATGGCTCAGTGGTTGAGCATCGACCTATGAACCAGGAGGTCAAGATTTGATTCCCGGTCAGGGCACATGCCCAGGTTGCAGGCTTGATCCCCAATGTGGAGCGTGCAGAAGGCAGCCAATCAATGTTTCTCTCTCATCATTGATGTTTCTATCTCTCTCTCCCTCTCCCTTCCTCTCTGAAATCAATAAAAATATATATATATATATATTTTAAAAAGAAGCTACTCCTTTCAGGTGATATAACAAAGATTTTTAAGTGTCTACATTTTATCAAGACTCCTTCAATAGATAATGTGAATTCCAATGTATAATAAACCCCCTAAGTCTCCTGTGCTTAATATAAATGACTCTAAGAAATCTTACAATGGGGACTCTGAGTCACTGGATGGTGGCTGGCATTTATAACTCTAAAGCTGGTTCAAATGACAATAGTTACTAAATAATCTAGGAATTTCTGGCTGGCATCATTTGGCTCCACCTAACATCTCTGTGCCATAGCTTCCTCACCTACAAATTGGGGCATTTCACAAAATTGTTACAATAAAATAAGAGTATGTGTGTGAGATGCAGAACAAAATGCATGCCTCACACTAAGCGTGCAGTAAAAGTTGTTATTAATGGCTGTAATGAAGAGATAAGGAAAGGAGGTAAACTGGACTAAAAGTTGGGAAACTAGAGATTTAGTTTATGAACAGCTATGTGACCAACATTGGAAAAGTGTACAAAAGCCTCAATTTTCTTCTCTGTAAAATTAAGAAATTGGACCAAGTGTCTAAATCGCCTTCAGTGCTAAAAATTTTACAAAATAGGGAACCACATCTATAACACAGGAGAACTATGGATCAATGAATGGGTCAGGGGGTCAGAATCTCCACCCCAACATGGAGTTAGGAGCTACAATAGGTAATCTCATATCCTCAAGAAGAGGAAAGTAGTTAAGGATATCTTACAATAGAGTATGAAATAAATGCTTTCTTTTACACTCTGTAAATAACCTGGTTTAAAGGTTCATTATTTGGCAGAAAATCCTTACAGGGCTTTTAAATGTAAAAAGTTATTTTGAAAATGAAAGCGTCTGTGGTTCTATTATTTAATTTCAAGGATTCTGTTTATCTAGTTTTAAATTCTTTTTAAAATGTTTTAAAAGTCTAATATCACTTTAATCAAAATAGCTATTTGAAGTAATGGACTTCCCCAGCTATTTTAATTCTTTTCACTGAAATATCTGAAAACAGACATACATTGGAAATCATTATTTTCTAATACATTTATCTTCAAAAGCAAAGTATACCCAATGACAAACAACAATACCTGAATGGCCCAGTGAGGTGGTACTTGACAGCAATAGAAAATCTTCAGACGCTCCAATACAGATGTAGTCTTGTCTTCAAATTGGTCTGCAAGAGCCTTAAGAGCACACATCCTAATCAGAATATATATATAAGATTATATATATAATCTTTTTTAAATTAAAAGATTAAA